GCAGTTAAACACTGAAAACCTCATTGGAAAGAACTGGAAAATTTCTAAGAAACTTCACTTTCATCCCTAAAGTCGGCCTCAAAATAGGGACGTTCCACCGGTAAAACCATCTTCTTAAGTTAACATTGAATAGAGCTCTCGTTTTCTAGAAAAAGTGAAGATTTTCCAGAAAACTGCACTCAAATTCTGAAAATTAGTCGAAAAACACTGACGCTGCGCAAAAATCGTCTTCTTAAGTTCACATCTTCTAGAACTCTCTAACGAAACAAGACAAATGAATCATCGAAACCTCCTTGTAAACAAGTAACATTTTTCTAAAAAGCTGCACTTCAATTTTGAAAATTTGAAAAACAATAAAGACGCTGTGAGACAAAAACCATCTTCTAAAGTTAACATCTTTTGGCCCTCTCTAACAAAACACGGCAGTTTAACGCTGAAAATCTCAGAAAGAGCTAAAAAATGTCTAAGAAACCTTTATTCTGAAAATAGGGCAAAAAATAGAGACGCTGCGTGGCAAATCCTATTTTCCTCAGTTAATTTTTTTGGCGCGCTCCAACAAAATATCGCAGTTGAGCCATGAAAACTCATTGAAAAGAGCTGAAAAACGTCGAAAAAAGTCAAGAAACTTGAAAAAATAGACACTGGGGGGGCAAAACCCAGCGCCTCTTAAAACGTATAACTAATAAAAGAGAAATGACGAGCACAAAGAAACATTCAAACACAACATGACTAAAATATCTAAAAAAAAAAAATGGAAAAATACTGAGAAAATGCGGCAAGAACAATTGTATTTCTCTGTTCTTTCCATTTCGTATATCAACTTACCTCATATAAGGAAGCAAGCGATTCGAGCGTCCTCGCTCTTCTGGAGCTGTAGCGAATGGAGCTTTGTCGGTCAAACTAACATGCAATAACGAAAAATAAAACAATAAAAAATACACCAAACAAATGCAATCAAATTTCCAACTATTGCTGATTACGCGCAGAATGCTCACCGTTAGATTCCGACTAGAATATCTCAAATTCGAGTTACTTTTGGAAATATCGTACAAACTCTTCAATTGCTCCATGCCAGGGGCTGCGATGAAAATTACATATGGGAGAAATTCCGAACTGTTATGAAGAATTTTTAGGGACATCGGGCTGCAGTCTAGAATGCACATTTTTCCCTAAAAACACCCCAAAAATTAGCCAGATGCTTTGGGGATTAATTGACTGGTTAGCTCCTACTTGCTTGATAACGTCCCGAATGGTATCCAGGTGGGTTCCATACAGGTGTCCATTATATTCTCCATATTCAAGAAACTTGTTGTTCCTAATCTCTTCCTGCATGGTTTCCCTGTCGGTGAACCAGTAGGTTTGGCCATTTTCTTCTAGAACTCTTTGAGGCCTTGTTGTAACTGAAACAACAATGCTAAGTTGGAAACTAACTGAAAAATTCAGCAAATAGTAGTATTTTTATAGTTGGTTTTTACCCGTTTTAGAATGAGGTTGACGGTTCATTAAATATTTTTCGTGTAGTTTTACACAACAATTTTACAGTTTCTCCTGCAAATCATTATTTAAAAAAATTAATTAAGCCCAAACGTAACTGATTTTGACGTGGAATACAGCAAAGTTCATTCTCTGGTCCGAAAAGTTTCAATTTTGCGGCAGCAGGAATTTTTGTAAAAATTATCAAATTTAAGCAATTTTTAATAACAGCGGTACAAAAAAGAAACAGCTCAGAAATCTTTCGTGCTGCAATTTACAGTCACAATTTGCTTTTGGAAAAATCGGATTTTGAAAGGAGAAGGCGCAAATCAGGAATGTTTTAAGTGCAATAAGTTTGCTGTTTTTATGAGCTTTTTGGAGAATTTGGGAAAATTGGGCACTTTTTATTAGGAAAACAGTTTTTTCCTGCCTGTAGGATTATCGTTTTTAATTCGGAATATTTTATGGGTAGTATTTAATGGGTAGAAAATGGAGGATGGGGCGCCAGCTTGCAGAAAGCTTGTTGGAATGACTTCTAATCTATAAATTCCTTAGTTTGAACTGAGTTTAGTTTTTCAAAAGCACTTTTTCTGGTTCTTAATAGTTTGGAACAGATTTCCTGTGGTACTAAACACATTTTCTTCTTTTTTCCAGGTCGCACGATGCAGCTTTTGGTAAGTTTGGCATTACTTTTCCCCTGGTTGCCATATAGTTGTAGAGCTTTTAGTCCCGTATTGTTGACTTGTATTTTATGATATTGTTACATATAATATTTATTCGACAAGGAACGACGAGCAAATTTATGGATTCTGGATTGGGCTTTTAAAATTTTTGAATACCTTAAACGGGGACTGATTTTATATGAACTTTTACAGTATAAATGTAAAATTACTGTCGTTCTGCTGTGAACTTCATTTATTGGCAATTATCTAGTTTATGACCTTCTGCCTTCTTTCTCATGTTCTCTTCTTTCCTAGCACTTTTCTTTAGTGGCATTTTTCGGCCTTTTTTAGCCTCTTTTATCAGTTTTATCAATTTTAATTATCAAAGCCTAAACCAGCTGGAAAACAACCTTGTCCTTCCGTGTATTAAACCCTAAATTAAACAGTTCTTCCATTCTCAATAGAGGTGATTCAAAATTCAAATAATTTTCACTCAGTTTTCGACATTAAACAGGCAGGTTTTTTGAACAAGGTCGTTTTTATATGAATATTTATAAGTTGAATGTAAAATAACTTGTGTGGTGAACACACCTTGGATTGTCTTAAACTTTTCAGTCCTCAAAAGGTTGTAAAAATAGCCCAGAATCCAGAGCAACACGGCTAAAGGTAGGTGAAACTTGTTTATTGTTTTGTGATTTTCCAGCCTATAGTGCTCTAAAAAGGCCTAAAGACACACGGATTAGTACAAGAGCGCACGTTGCTGCGTTTGGATCCTGTACTTTCGCAAATAAAATTTTCGATTCTTTGGGGGGTTTTTATGTCGAGGAATCCAAGTCCAAAAAACCTGATGTAATTTGAATTCTGCAATTTTTTGCATCCTTTATAGAACTGGAGAAAATGCAAATAATTTTTTGCTTAAACTTTTGTTTCTTTTGCGGCCTTTTTCTCAACTTTTTCAAGTTTTAGCCATATAATCTTATAGGCTACTATTCTTCTACTTTAATCAAGGATTTGCTTAACTCTGATTTTGACTGATTTTTTTCATTTGGACACGATCAGAACAAACTAATAATAATGCAGACAAAAATGACAACGTATTTCTTCTTCTTTACACCTTCATCCTTTAGGGGAAAAATCGGGTTTTTAGGGAATTTCATCGGACTGGACCCGGACAGCATTTTACTTGGTAGAAGTAGATGACAACCAGGGTTGTAGTTGTTATTCGATAGCATTTCTGCTGCTCGCATGTGCAGCTTTGCGGATTTTAAGCTTTTGCGGAATTTGTATTTCAATTTTTGCGAAATTTTTATTGCAGTTTGTACAAATTTTATCTAGCGGTTTTGAAAAATTATGTGTATATTAGTTTATAGCTTAAACATAGTTAAACCCAACGGGTTGAAACTCGTACACAGTGTAGATGAATGTTCGAGGCAAATTTGGACCAATTTGCTCCCTCTTTCAATAATCCATCGATTTTTCAGCGGCTTAAAACTTTGACCAAAATAAAATTTCCGCTCTTGCACACAAACTAACATAATGTTTCAAATCATTTATCCTGAATTTCCCAAATTATTACCGAAATCTGAGTGTTAATCTATTTTTCATAAGCATTTAACATTAACAAGGCTGTATTGAATAAAACCTCCAAACTTGCAACTTGGCGCCTTAAAGCGCATAACTCCACAACCAGTAAATTCAACCGAATGAAAGTCGCACAAAATATAAAAGAATATTTGGGGTACATTTAGAGAAACTTTCACTAATACAGAAGCATTCATTCAATTTTTCCAAGCATCTAAACTCAGCGTGAAAGAAAAAATCTCTAATCTTGCAACTCGGAGCATTAAAGTGCATAGATTCAACACTATTAATCCCAGACGATTGAAACTCATACTGAGTATAGACAAAGGTTTGCGGCAGATTTGGCGCAAATTGCTCTCTTTTTCAACAATATACCGATTTTTCTGAGGCGGCAAACTTTGACCAAAATACAATTTCCGCTCCTGCATACAAACTAAGATAAATTTGCAACTTCAAATTCTGCGTCCATTTCGACTTTAAATTGGCTCACTGTGTTGCAAATTGTTCATCCTGTGTTTCCCAAGTCATCACTAAAATCCGAGTGTTAATCTATTTTTCATAAGCATTTAAGCTTAACAGGGCTGTATTGAATGAAACCTCCAAACTTGCAACTTGGCACCTTAAGGCGCATAACTCCACAACCAGTAAATTCAATCGCGTGAAAGTCGCACACAATATAAACGAATATTTGGGGTACATTTAGAGAAACTTTCACTAATATAGAAGCATTCATTGAATTTTTCCAAGCATCTAAACTCAGCGTGAAAGAAAAAAATCTCTAATCTTGCAACTCGGAGCATTAAAGTGCATAGATTCAACACTATTAATCCCAGACGATTGAAACTCATACACATTATAGACAAAGGTTTGCGGCAGATTTGGGACAAATTGCTCGCTTTTTCAACAATATATCGATTTTTCTGAGGCGTCGAACTTTGACCAAAATACAATTTCCGCTCCTGCATACAAACTAAGATAAATTTGCAACTTCAAATTCTGCGTCCATTTCGACTTTAAATTGGCTCACTG